TATCTAATTGGGTTTGCCACCTTATTACATGCCTCATCTATGACACTTTATTTCTTGACTTTGATCATTTTGTCCATTCCATGTGTGTGATGAAGACATAAGCAGGCACTTTCATTTCCACTTATTTTACTTTCTCTCTGGCAGTAAAATACCGAGCATGAGCCGGCACACAACTGCTGTACGGTTGAGTTTGACTGGTTAGGACACCTGATTCACTCTAGCCGACACACTGGAGACTGACTTTAAACAGAAGCTTGCTAGCCGTAGCCATTTCCCCCTGTTTCCAGTCATTATGACAAGCAAAGCTAGCTTCAAACTATACATGGCTATGTACTGCATATGAGAGTGGTAGCAATCATGTCTGATGTCTGATCACTCCTGGAGAGAAAGCAAATATGTTTTATTCATAGAAATGTATTAAAATGAATTAGAATTTTTTAAAGAAACAGCAACAGAATAACGTCGACTCTCCAAATACAGAGAGCAGTTTTTCTGAATATGTAAACATTTTACATCAACATATCTGAATTTTGTACAAAGCTGTATTAAAATAGATTTTATTTATTCAGACCATTAACGTCCCAGAAAATGTGATTTCCAAACTCAACAATTAAGCACAGAAGTGTTGAAAAGCATGACAAACACACACACACACACATACACACACTGCCCTTGCCCACATGAGGCCTCTTACAAAGAAAAAGACAGATTGCCCATACGTTGAATAGAGAGAGGTGTTCTACAGGCAAGGAAAAAGACACAGACAAGAACAAAATACCACCTGCCCGGGATCTTATCTTCAGCCTCTGGGATCACTGATATCTGATAAGAACAGTGTAAATCAGAAGGCAAAAGGACCCCTACATCTGTCTCTCACTTTGTGAGGATTTTCAGTGGCTGGAGAAACTTTCTGTGTTTGATTATATCGCGAGGATAATCTCAATCAAGATAAAGACCTCTGTCTTGTAGCTTTTGCTCCCATACATGGTGGAGATGTAAGTCATGGATCGGTTTTCGCTGGTCATCTATTTGACTTTTTAACTGTAATTATGTAGTGGAGATGGACCATCGTTCATTTCATTTTTTATTTTTTGGTTTTGCCTTGAAGCGCTTGCACACCTGTAACAGTAAAAGCACATTTTCACATCCCGGAGCTGTCCAGTAAAACCAAGTTGTTCTTTTGGCTTCAACTGGGGATTGTGTGTAGTAAAACAAAAAATAATTATTGCTTACATATCCTTGAGCATGGCACTTTGCCATAAGTCCTCCATCCTTCATCTGGTGTTAGAAACTTACAGAAGGACACAGAAAAGCTTGAAGGAGTATGTTGAATGTAAAGCACATGTATTTGCACTTTTATTTCTAATTTTTTTAACTAAATTGTAACTATTTATTTTGTAAACTTGGCTTTCGCATTTAAATATTAAATGAAATATTACTACTACCACATAAAGCTTAATAGATGAAATAGGGTAAGCAATTGAATTATCCTGAAAATGATTTAGATATCCCTCATCATCTCATCAAGTGCCACTTTAATCATAAGATTCTGCAAATGCCCACCTGCCTATAGGTTCATACGGTGTAATGGTCCAATTTGTATTGTGTGTGTACATGCAGCTTTGTGTACTTTTGGGAAAGTCTGCATAAATTATAGTGCCTGACTATGTATGCGTGTGTGAGTCACTTGTGTGGCTGTGACCGGTGTGACGAAGCACAGTGACGGAGCTCTGGCCATCTGGAGACGGGTGACAGTTTGAATCACCAGAGAGCAGGATCGACAAAGAAAGGGGAGGTGGTGAGAGGGAGAAGGTATACGAGGGTGAGACAGAGAAAGCAGCAGGATGTCAAATCAGCAGCGGAGCAAAATGCACGAGGAAGAGCGCACGGACACGAACGGACATTGCGTCTCTCGGTGGCCCGTTGAGCTGCCTAAAGACCTGCTTGTCAGCACTTGGTTGAATCACCCTAGAATGAAACCGGGTGGCAACTTACAGACTCATCCAAACAAACACACACACACACATGCCTGCAAGCTTACTTGCACGCTGTTAGTTAGTCCAACTAGAAAATCTGTTCACTCATCACTCAAAAGGAAAAGAGACAGAGGGCCCGTGTTGTCTGTCAGCGCGTAGAAGCATATCGCCTCTCACCTCTTAAAACCTGCGTTCCCTCGCCGCCTCGGATTTCCCTTCACACATGATTCCGTCCTGCTGTTTACCCTCCCTGTGCAACCTCTTTGTGATCACCATCTTCATCATGACCACCTCACTCCATTCCACGGCAAGGTGATCTCTACTTAACTCAAGTAGGCAATGCTTAAGTGGCAATACGAATACAAATCTACTTTGCACTCCAGACATTTTTCTCAGTTTTTGTCAATAGATGACATCATCCATTCCTCAGCTCTCATTCCGTTGTTTATATATTTATATATATATTTTTTGTATTTGTGCAACTTTAAAAACGACGAAAAATCTCCTTTTTTCCCCTCTCCCTGTTATTTCCGCCCAAATGCGCCCGTGCGCTCCTTCTCCCCCTAAAGCACCTGCCCACGCACACCGCCCCGTCTCATTCTTCGGGGGCATCGTGACTGTGCCAACACGAGTAAAACTTCACGAAGTAGAAAAGATCCAACGGGACGAGGCATCGGGCCCTCCGGTCCTCATAACATTACTGCAAGTTGCATCACGAGCACAGCGCGAAAGCGGGGAGGACGAATGCGCGCGGTCGTGCGTGTTAACGGACCCGCTGATCGACTGTCTCATGCGCCGCTGATGAACGAACGATCCGCCGGTCGAGTTGACCGGAAGAGCCTCTCCGTTCCCCAGATAACGCCACGTCATCGTCACCCTGCCCAGCACATCCTCCTCATCCTCATCCTCATCATCATTCCTCATCATCGTCACCCTCTCCCACGAGGCCCTCGCATTCTCTGCTCCGCACGACTAAACGAATCGGGGTTTATTGCCGCTCATTGAGCGACGAGTCCCCCGGGACCGCTGGTTTCGATCGCATGGCGTCATGCTTTTCTCTTCGATACCTCCCCCAGACCTTTGACATATATCTATATATTTTTTTGTCTTTCTGTGTGTCCCTCAGAAATGGTAATTGTGCTGCAGCGGAGGGAGGGGGGGGGGTGCTCGTTGACAAATGAAGACAGTTCTAAATCTGGTGCTAAAGGAGCTGCCCTCTTCATGCGGCATAGCGCGCATTCCGCGTGCCACAGTTGGTCATTAATTGGGAAGTGTTGCTTTGTTTTGACAAAGTCGGCGGAACGCCACGGAGACCGGCCCTTCTCTTCCCTCTTAGCATAGCGTGAGGCTCTGGTGCCGCTCAATGGGAGGATGGGGCAATTGCTGGTGGCTGCAGAGGCACCGATGAGGGGTTGGGAGGAGTAGGGGGGGTATTTATGGACACAGTTTAACGTAGACGATGAATAAGGGTAATAGAGTCGGGCTATTTCTGCGGTTTGGAAATATATGCAATAAGTTAAGAGTCCCTTTGCTGTCTCCGAGACTAGACTCAAACGGCGAGACGGTGGGAAATAAAAGGCTCCCCGGACGCAAATAAAGCAAGAAGCCTCCTGCGAATATAGCCGCAATGAGATTTACTCCACACCGAAAGTCGAGAGAGAGATTCGTCGGCGCCGTTTGGCACTGAGCTGCGTGTGTGGTGTGTCTACGTCTCACTGAAACCATCTGGGGCGCACGCGGTTGATGACACAAGTTCGATCAAAAGTGGGTGACACGTGGGAGATAGTCGGCGGTGCAACACGAGGCGATGACGTGTCCGTCAAATAGCAGTGATCGGGCTGAAATCACGCTCGTGCAGCACGAGGCGACGCAGCCTTTGGCGGTGCTGAGGATGTGCCCAGTTTCCACTCACTTTTTGGATGACGCGCCGTCCAGCCGAAAAAGGTACGAGTGGGCGAACAGGGCGCCATGACTCACTGTCAAGTTCAAATGGTGACCACGGCCTTTGGCTAAAAATAGTGCTCATTTTGTGGTGTGGAGCCAAGACAGTGATAAAAACGGTGGCCTTTCTTTGCCAAATAACATGCTCGGGATGGCAAACGTGTTTGAGGGTTTTTTTTTTCGTTCGAAAAGCATTTTGTTATCAGTGTCCACGGGAAAAGGAGGAAAAATCAAACATGGATCGGTAACGGGGTCTCTAATTTCACAAACCCGTTACGTGGAGAAGACGTAATAAGTAAATAAATAGTTATGATAATCTGTTGAATGTCCATCTCCCGTTTCAAGATTTAAGCGAGGAAAGAAACTCCAGAGTTAGTAGGCCTAACCCCTAATTGGAGACAATAGTACAGAACATGGTATGAATTGATGTATTGGTCACGTGGGTCGGTGGAGGTTCTCATAGGGTCTTAGTTGGGGAACCGAGAAGGACAGTCAAAAAAACGAATACCCCCTTCCCTCTCTCTCTCAGTCACACACACACACACACACACACACACACACACACACACACACACACACACACACACACACACACACACACACAGTGGACTCTGAACAGCATAATGATCACCCTCCCGTTTGACCATCTAACCCTGCCTCAGGTTCCGCTGCACCTGTAAAAAAACTCCTTTTGATAGCAGGAATCCCACGATATGTGTATTTGAACATCTCCACAGCCCATTAAATCCACCCTCCATTTCCCAAGAAAACACCTAACACAGTCGTGCAACGAAACGCAGCAACAGAGTCTAGAGAAGACAAGAGGCTCGGTGGCAATTCCGGAGGAACCGCTGGCCCCAGAATAGCCACCCGACCAGCCACCTCTCCCCTATTAATAACTTTAGGGGAAAGCACGGCGGCACCACAGCAAGGTTGACTCTAAATGCGCCTTTGGGGATGAGTACGTGTGCGCGATGCTCATTTGTATTCGGTCGGGGATCGTGGAGAGGGTGGGAGGGGTGGGTGGGATAAAGCCTGCTGCATTTTCTCTTCATGTTTTCCGCGGTACAGATGGGGACTCACCGTTTGCTGAGGCGACCAGTAGCCCCACATAGAAGAGCAGCACCCGGCTCCAATGGTGCGCCCGCACTCCCGCCTTCATTAGAGCAAAAATCCGTATTCCGTCCTCTTTCCTGCATGCGCATTCCGGTCTCCCCGCAAGTCCCGTTGCTCGGTCCCGAATGGAAGCGGCGGTCATGGCAGGGCTTTTTCTCTGCTCGGGCAGTGCGCGATACTTCTCAGATGGTCAAAAGAGGGAGATTCACTCGGTGTCGGTGCTGAGAAAAATCCCAATGCATGGAGGAGGCTCGGATCTCGCAGCTGGACTGAACCATGTCATGCGGGGACCTGGGGGTTCAGAGTCTCTGTCTGAGAGGATGGATTTCACACCTAAAGGGAGGGAAAGGAGGGAAGTCGAACCCAACGAGGGAGACGAGAATCAAGTGGTCCTCGATCTACCCAGCACGCGGAAAAAAAAGAAGAACTCACGAAAGAAAAAAAAAAAACTCGTCCGCTGCACATATACCACTGATATTACCGGGAGATCCCTTCCTTCAGGTCGACCCGCTGCACTTATCTGTCCTTCTCTTTATTGCGTCTCCTTTGAGGAACAACATTTGCAGTGCCGGTAATCCACGTTCAAACTCGTAATTTGACCGAGGTTCGGAAGAGCCATCGCAGAATGAGTGAGAGACACACAGGTTATCCGGATCCAAGACAGGAAAGAAAAACCAGCCCGTTCTAGAAGTTGTCAACCAACGTAGTCAGATCGGACTGTTTTGGAGAGAGATGACCGGTGCGTATTCCCGGTAACGCACCGCTTGGCCACAGCGTCGTCTCGGGTCTGTGCGACGCCAAGAATCAGACTGCAGACTGCCTCTCTCTCTCTCTCTCTCTCTCTCTCTCTCTCTCTCCCCCTCTCTCTCACTCCCCCTCCACCGCGGCCCTCTCCCCCACCACTTCACATTTATGAGTTAAAGGACATTAACCGACTTATTGAGTCATAAACTAATATGGTCCATTAGATGAATATCTCTCGGTGATAATTAAAACAATATGCTAATATACTAATAATAACAATACAATTCTAACCAGTAATTCTACCAATTCACTAAGGTAAAATCGAGGGGTCCACAACGAGGCCATTGTCTCCATCCATTAAGTCCAATCATGGGCCCGCCCGGTGGTTTAACATGGATGTCCACTTTCTGCTCACCAGACGTGAAATTGATGCTTAACAGGCTGGAACCCTGGACCGTAAATTTGAATGTCATTTCCACTTCTCCATATGAGGGTGTAATTAGTTTTTCGCAATGCGCCGTCCGTGGAAACAATCGCGATAATGAAATGCGCGTCGGCCTTCGACCCTGTTTTTAAGATGGGGGGGGGTCATAAAAAGTGTTACCGCAGCATTCAATTAAATTGTGCCAACCCTGGTGTGCGCCTGCAGCTCATGGTCAGGTTGTTTAGCATTCTGTAGACTAATATGACACCTATTATCAGTCTGTTAATGCCGCTGGTCTATTTATGCTCACGCACACGCATTCTGCTGCGCGTGAGTTTGTTCTCCGATAGCCAATGCTGCGTAATTGGTTTGTCCAGTTTATTGTCAAATTGAAAGATTATCCAATTTGAAAAATTAAAGATAATTCGGGAAGGTCCAAAGCCGCAAAAAGAAAATGGTCGCCTTCTCGATAAACCAATAAACTGGTTTGAAGGGCTAAATTGAATAAATAATCAAATCACATGACAAATTAATTATAGGGGCGAATGTTACAGGCCATATCCATTAATGGAAGTTGTTCAGTGAAACCCAGAACGTGTTATTTAAATACAAGTGTATTGACCATTTTGAATGACTTTATAGCATGAAACGTTTACCAGCTTTGCCAAATGCATTTGTGAACAAATAGTGTCGAGGTATTAGCAAGTTGGGCTTTTTTGAATTGTGTTCACTATTTTTTGCCTTCCATACATTGATCACCAAGACAAACGAGTTTAAAAAAAAACGCAACTTTTACTTTGAAGGGGAAACCTTGCGTTTTCCGGCTCTGCACTTCCCCGACTCTTCTTAGCGTGAATTTAAGTAACAATCCGAAGGTTTTTTGCATTGCACGTGTTCTTACAATAGAACACAAGTCAGTGCCTCTAAACTGACATTCTAGAGTCCTTTCGGTGTGCCATGGCAACCCGCCAAATAATGTTTCCTTACAAAAAGCTGGTTAGAAATAAACCATCGGCCGGCCGTAAAGAAAAGCTTGTGCGTGTGGACAACAACACGGAGACAACATGATGCCGTGGGGAAGGTCTCGCATCGCGACAGCCACTCCAAAACACTTGGTGGGTGCGTTCGCGCCGTTTCCGCGCTCCACGTGGATCCACGCTGACGTCCCGCGGGACAACTACGACCGCATCTGCGAAAAAATCTGGAGAGCAGCAAACGAGGCCGAGGAGGAGTTTGGCAGAGGAGCAAGTCCACCAGAGAGGCAGAGGGATGAAGAGGGCAGGAGAGTAGACGACACACCAACTCATCGGTGAGTCCCAGCAAACACACACGCATGCGCACAAACACGGCTACCGTCGTGGCCATTATAACAGAAAAACGCTGTAAATTGGTCCTCAAACAGTGTATGAAATTCACTTTTTAGCTAAATTATTCGACCAACTGCTGTGTGTTTAACCTCAGCGGAGTCTCATATGCTGCAACCTTTGCAGGCTGATGCAGCTGCATTATCTTGTTCTATTCTTGTGGCATCTCATTTCAGCATTTCATTTCTATGAATGCTACTAATTAGATCTGATTATGGACACATGGATTATGCGATTAGAAAACCAAAACCGCAAGAAGAGTTGATAAGAAGTTTGACATGTATTCAATTACTACTTGCTGTTGTTTTATATATCGGGTTTTTACAACATTAACAGGATCTTAGTGATGCATTTCTACAAAGTTGGTGATCAATTGAAAAAATATCAACAACACCAACAGACTTTAAAGTTTTTTAACCTGTAGCGTTCATACAGGCTCTTTTGTTGCCGTGGATACAGTGTCATTTTAAAAGTGATCACAGCATTTACCTTAATCATAAAGGCCTGTGGAAAATGAGCAAAGTTCTCAACCTGATCTACACACGGCAGTGTAGGGCTGCTGTGCGGTCACGGACCCACTGCGTAATATTAATGTACACCATCTGCTCACCGGCCGCCCCGGAGCTCGGGTGACATCGCCGTTATCATAAGCATCCCCGGTCCCACCGGACCGTCTGTTCCGCACCGCGCGGCTCGACGGTCATCAGGATGGTGACTAAAGAGCGGCCTTATTATAACGTCATGGTTTGAAGCGAGTGCCGGCCCACGCACAAGAGCCAAACACCCAGTGATGCCCGCTCTTTTGAGGCCAGGCATTGGGTTCAAACTAAACGCCCCACCCCGGAGGGGGCAATGACATTATGGTGAGTTACACAATATCAACTGGTTATCCCTTGTGCCTCATCGATATACACTGCAGGCCAACCAGTTAGTTTAGAAAAAGATGTACAACCAAAAAAAGGGCTATAGTTAGATTAAAAAAATACAGAAAACTCCCTATTCCTTGAATTACCCTGTTTTGAGCATGGCCAAGTTGAACTTTACTCAATACGACACAGTCAGTAAATAAACTGGTTATAAAACTGGTAAAAGTGAATTTACCTGCCACCGCTATCAGGAAGTTCTCCTTCTTCTTGAATAGACTGCATGAGCACGTTAACCTTGTAGCGGTATAGCTTCTTTGCTGCGATGGTCCGTGACGTATGAAAACTGTGTTAACCCCGGCACCCTCCCACACGCGTATCCTTCTCTTTGTCCGTCAAGGGCCAAGGAGCAGCAGAAGGAGGCAGATGACTTTGGTCTGAGCACACGCTACGAGGAGGACGCGCAGCGGCACCACACAGCCTTCGCACTTCCTTGCCCCCGTCTCTCGGGCCACAGACCTCCCCCTGTGGCCGAGCCTGCACGGGAACTGAAGCCTGTGATGGAAAAAGAGATGAAACGAGCCAGGGAGGCGAGAGGGAACGCGGGTTTGGTGAGCACGATGGTCTTTGTGGACAAAAGCGCTTCTATGTCGGTTTGCGACAGCCGAGTTAGAACATTACCACTAACTAATGAATAAAAAAAATACTGACGTTTGATCATTATCCTTGATTTCAACAATTCAGTCACGTCGGGAGGAAGAAGCGGGAGACGGACAAACTAGCGTGTCAAATGACGTTAAGGGGATCATTGTCCCGGAATCCACCGGCAGAGAAAACAGCTCTGAACCTCAACCTCAACCTCCGGCGCCGGATCCAGTCTGCTCTGCCACTGCGGACCGAACCCTGCGCCTGGAGGATGATGAAGATCCTCAGCATGCTGCATGCGAAAGCAGAGATGGCGAGAATACAACTAGCAGTTGCGACAGTGATTCCAGCGATGATGATGATGATGATGATTTTGTAAGCCTACCTGGGGCGAGAAGTTATGCCACAGATAACAGTCGTGGTGAATCAGAGAGTGAAAACGACAGTGACGGAGAGATAAGTGAGATGTTGCGCTCACTTGAAGGAGCATGTTCCAACAGCGAGCAGGATTCCCTGTGTTCTTTCACAGCGGAAGACTTTCCACTCCTATCTGCCACAAAGGCTGGCAACCCACCACGTCCCACGGAGCCCCCAGCCTGGGGGAAGATGAAGAGCCACTGGGAGATTCCCCTTTCAGCCTGGCCATGCGACTTCCCCGCTGCCACTTTGGCAAGCTGCGTGACCGGCCGTGCCCATGCTCCGGTCCGAGGCAAAGCCGGAGCACCTGAGGCGAGCTCGCTGAGCAACGCACCAGCAGCCCCAGAGGAGCAGCCTTACAACCTGCTGGCTGACTTCCCAGCCCTGCAGCCCTCAAAGAAACCTTTAGCACTGGGTGTGTGGCGTGATGGGAATCCAGAGACCAAGGTTGCGGAGGGGAACAGAGGGCACGCTCGCACAAAAATCCAATGCCAAGGAAGAGGGGGTTCCTGTCGGAGGAAAATTCAAATTGTTCCCCTCGAGGTCCCCTCCGTCTGCACACGAGATCAAAAATCCGTAGGCAATTCTCCCACCGTCAGCGGCGAGGAACTGAAGGCCAGCAACCAGCCGACTCCTAGAGGTAATATATCCGCCAAGTGTGTTTATATATAATCTGTTTATTGTTAATAGCATTTTAAGTCATTCTTAACAGCCACTGGAGCAAAACAATAAACAAACATCCCTGTCTGAGATTAGGTTATTGATATTAATGACACTGTCTTACTCTGCTAATTGAAGGCAGGGGAGAGGAAGCAGCACCTGTCCCAGGCAGAAACGCTGCCTCTCAGAGGTTGCTGAGTGCAAAATGAGCCAAATTCCAGCTCGCAAAGCTTCACACCTTAACTACTTTGTGTACTTTTTCTGAGCTCGAGACCAACAAAGTTGTGTCTATTGCATAATAGGCGAATCGGAACAACCATATAAACCAAGCAGGCAGCACGCAGCGTCACTTGTGATCACGGACAAGTCTGCCCGCCCACCGACGCTACCCACACACACACACACACACAAGCATGCAACTGCTGCAGCTCTGTATGTAGTTGTTGACACACTTTGTGACTCCGCATCGGTGTTGACGGGAGGTACTTCGTCAGCGACTCAGTGGGAAAATGTTTTCATAATGAGGGGATTATTGTGTATTGTGTGCGGTGTGATCATTCCTTTACTACTGTAACAAAATCAAACATTTTGGCAAATTCAATGATTTCATAACAGAATTGCTTCTTATTAAAGGTGCGAGGGGCATATGTGATACATGACGCTGTCTCTCCTCCAGCAGTTTGCAGCGTCATAACACAGCCCTGTGGATTTAGCGGCACTGAGTCGATCCCTCGAGGGGGCGCGGCCCAAAGAATTCCCTTGCTGGGTAAAATAACAACATTCTATTAACCCCCCCCTCCATCTGCTTCCGACTTAACGAGACACTGGCCACACACCTGCATGTGAAAAATGGGGTATACTGGTAATCCCTTGCCCCCTTGCTGTGCACGTTGCGGTTGCAGGTACAGATGGCGTGGACACCAATGCCAGGTCCTGGGCCAGCGTTGCCAAGATGGGCCTGGAGTAAGCAGCTGCCCCCCCGGAAGAAAGCCAGACCTTGTACCCTTCAGCAGATAGTTACCGTTAACATAGCCAAAGGTACGTTGACATGGTTTGACTATATGTGTGTGTTTGTGTGCTGTGCTGTGCGTCCGGGTGGGGTATTATGTTTCACGATGGGCTCATGAATAATGTGTCATGATCCCGGTTGAGCATTTATTTCGCACCACCTACTGAGCTGATGACTACAGCGTGTCATCTTGGCCCTCATGCACGGAGCTTCAAAGGTTCTGTGTGCAGCATTTTCAAACCTCAATACATCACTGTCAGATTAATTGTGATATTAAATTCCGCAATGCAAATGAGGCTGCAGTTGGGGGTGATTGGTGGTCTCCATCCCACCACCAGTGGTATTGTTACTGTTGGTGACATCAATTAATCTGTGCCTTTTATCGAGCTCAACACCGAAACACTGACACATCCCTGGCACAGTTTGGTCTGATAATGTTAAACGTTTTAACAAGACGGATGGGTAATGTCGTTTTTTGTAAAGAAGGAATCCAATGGAAACGTATAGAAAACGTTTTACTGTATGTCGTCACATCCTATTTGCCATAAATAATCCTGCTTTATGCCTCGCATGTCGAGAAATTAAAATGTTCAAACTCGCCACACATCAATTTTGACTTGACATCACAGACATTATTCTACGCCCTTTTATTCTGTAAATAGAAGTGTGCAGCATCACGCTGCCACTTTCCACTGTTTTCCAAGTCACATTTCACTTTTACCTCTTTTTTTTTTACCCGCTAATAAAGCCTCCCACTGACTAATAATGGCTGCGGCTTGTCAAATGTCCTAAACTTACTGATTACGAGCAATTAAACAGAACTCCGAATTCAGATTTAAAAAAGGAATTAAGGAAGAGTCTTGCTTTGAAGTGGATATAACTTTGCAGTGACCAGCACAATCACAGCACCACTTATCCTGTGCTGTTGCCTCGTTACAATTCAAGGCTGATCTGCGGCTCACTGTAATATCCTTTAAACCGTCCAACAAAGCTATTGTTGCTCCCCAGCTCTCCTGTGACATTGTTACTGTAACTGAATCAACACCATAGAAAAATACTTATCTTACTTATGTAATGTGTGTGTCTCTGTGTGTGTCTCTTTCGCTCTCTCTCAATAAATATAAATATATATATAGATATAAATACCCACCCATACAATGTTGTTGCTTTCACAACAAGCTCAGACAGAATAGCCTTGAAAACTGGTTGTTCTACCCAGTGTGATGTTGACTCACATAGTAACAACGAATTACAAGAGTAAAAGAGATTAGGGATTTTCAGCCAATCACAATGAGAGGTCAGTATGGGGACGTAATTATACATGCTGGTGTGTTTTCAATGAAGCCCAAAAGACCAGCTGTGTTGAGGGCATTTCACTTCTGAGGCCTTGAAATCCTTTCAGAATGCTTTCTATAAGTGGCAGCTGGGATTTAGCATGTATGTTACAGCTCTGTCACAAGCATACCGCTGGATCCATCCCCATGTGCGACTAAGCACAGCGAGGAGCCGCATGAGCAAAAGTGTTTTACGGCCTTTGTTATTGCAATCAAGCAATGTGTGTCATTCTGCATCAGTGAAAACACTGTATCCAACTTGTTTACAACCAAAGAACTGCCACTTATATTATCATAAAGAAACCTCTTGATATTGTTTATATTTTTTATGCATTTTGAAAATCAGAACTGGCTTCAGAATTCCGGTTTTCCTCCGCCTGAGGTGTTTGAATGTATAAATGGTGGCATCTCCATAACTGAGCAGCTATTGTAACTCCAAACACTAAAGGTTTAGTTTGATTTTGAGAATGTTGATCAGTTATTTCTATGAGAGCTGGATGGAACAATCGATGCCCCCGTCACGTATGCTCAGCATGTAGCGAGAGCTCGCAGGATGTTCGCTGAGCTTAGTATGAAGACAGGGAACAGCTAACCTGGCTTTCTTCTCTTTTTGAAAATTTTCTTTGTATGGTTTCAACCAACAAGATTATAACGTGTGACCTGCAGACGGGCCAGTGGGGAGATTTCCTTCATCTTTGGACAGAGCCTGACTATCTTGCTAAGCTAAGCTAATTCGCTTAGCTATTACTTTTACGACTAGGTTGTCTTACAACAAAGTTCTGCATTTGTAATCTGGAAGATGAGGTGGCTCTAACCACCACGGCGCTGCGACTCCGCTCTGCTCCTGGTTTCCCAATAATACGTCTGTAAGCTATTTAAATTTGGCGTGCAAAATCCCGCGTTGTGGTGACAATGACAGCAAACTCTGAGGTTTGCCCATTTTGGCCTCAGCACTTCTCATTCTGCAGGATAATTACTGAGGCTGCAGTACACGTTTCCCCTGGGTGGAAGTAGCAACATCGGGTCTCTTGGTGTCAACTGAGAGACGATATGCAGGAGGGAAAGGCTCGGTGGGTCGGTGGGTGAGCGAGAGAGAGGGAGATTGTAAAATGTGTGATGGTGATGGAGAGAGACATTATGAAAGTTTTATTTTAGGCAGCTAAACAGCTGATGCAGGGTTTTAAAAGGTGTTTATAGAGAGAGCAAAATAGTAATGAGAACTATTTCCGTCACTGACGCGGTTTAAAACCTGTCTTTGTTTCTGTCTCTGACGCACACACGGAAGCTGACGTTCACACGTTCTTGGCACTCTGGCACTGACCATGATTTAAACATTCTGCTATTAAAGATTGACAACGAGAGAAAGGCTAGGAAATAAATGCAGATTAAGACATTTTAATCAAATGCAGAGATTGGGAATGGGTGATTTTTATTAACACCGAGAACCGAGGTTGTACAATAAGAGTTCTTTGTTTTATTCCAAAAGCCTCTCACTCAGGTGCCCAGACCCTTGTTTGTTATTGATTTAAACCTTTACTGCCTCAGTAATCAAATCCAGGATATTAGATACTGCCTCTAAGAGAGAGCAATTAAGTGGAGCTTCTTTCATTGTGTCTGGGAGTTGGAACACCTAGACCAGCAGTTCGTTGCCACAGCATCCGCGTGAGGAAAAAAAGAAACAAATTGACAATTAAAAGTGCTTCACTCTTGGCAGACGGAAGAACAAACAAACGAGTGGCCAAATTGTTTGGTTTAGCGGCCTGATCGATGGTCCGATGCAAATACGGGTGTGTCAGAAACCCAATGTGTCGGGAAGGGGGGGGGTTGCTCGCTGCGAATGAGGCTCGCGCATCCGAGCCTGTGTGCCCTCCAGCTTGTGCGAGTGTGCCGGCGACGCAGGCCAAAGTTTTCCCCTCTCTGCATTCTGCCTCTCTCCTCACGCGGCTAGCTAATAAGCCCCGTCTCCGAAGCTGTTGCTAGGTTACCGCGGGTCTGTTGTTACTCTCCGGCGGGTGGCCTTTTCCTTCTCCTGTGTGTTCATGAACTCAAGTGCGACATACGACATACGGCCACATGCAGCAGATGCAGGTAAAAGGTGCGGGGAGCCGCAACGCAGAGGCAGCCGCCCCTCGTCGTACTTTGGTTCTAGTGTGTGTCGCGGTGTTTGACCCGTGCGCTCGGCCGATGGATTCCAGCAGGTGTTGGTCTTAAATGTTCCTTTGACGGGCATGTCCGTCTCATTGCTCCGCTCATGCAAAGTCATCCGGCTGAAAGCGTACTTCAAAGTAAGGAGGCTGAAATGATCTGGTAACCAGGCAACCAAAACAAGGTTTTTTGTGTCTAAAGCAAAATACTTAAAAGCCCTCAAAGAACATGGGAGGGTTTTCCCTCCCCTTGTGGGTGGTTCTTGGGGGGTGGAAGGAGTCCCATAGACTGGCTTTGAGGTAAGCACGAGAGGCAGAGAGTTCTTTGTATGTTTGTTCATCATCAGGGAGTCTCTGGCTCTCTGTTTTCCAGCCTCTACAGTGACCCTTCAGTTTCAGAGACACCTCCGAGCTTTCAAATTAAATAATTATTGGACAGCAAACTACCCACGAGTGCAGCGGTTAAGTATCGATGTTAATGCGGCAAAGCACAAAATGGCCACGATAAAGCACTAAAGATAATAAATGTTGAGGTTTTTGGATTTCAGAGCCCAGTCTCAAGTCTGTTTTGGATCAACCCCCCCCGGCCCACGCTCTGGCATTTTGAAATGCTCAGAGATGGAGGATGGTGCTGTGAGTGAGCGCCTGGCATCATGAGACATTTCCCTCTCCAGCCAAAATGCAAATGACAAAGCGGCATTATGATTAGTATTATTATTATTACTGCATCTTGATGGTTTGCCTCCTCTCTGGATGTGTCAATTGGTGGAAATGTGACTTTTCGTTATATGATAACACTGACTTGTATTGTACTGGTGTGTTAATGTTAAAAGTAGTACGCTATTCAACACAGCCTACAGAAAGGCAATGCCAATTTGGCGGAAACCTCTTCAACTTTGCATTAAGCTGGATAATTAGTCAGACGGACCTCATCAAAACCTTCATTTTGTGATGGTTCGTGTGCACAGGTGATAAAGGCAACTGTGTTTCTATATATAAAGCTGCGAACTGTAGAATGTTTCTTTATAGTAGCCTTTGAATTACATGCATGGTATTGTTCATGACTCCTGTATTTCTCCTGAAATTCCAATTCCCCACAATGTGTGTGTGAGTATATCCTAGCTATATCGATTATGTGGCCATTGTGCCCATTATTGCGATCAGTTGACTGATATCTGAAAGCCGCTATTGCTATTTAAGGCACCATTACGTGGCAATTTACGGCTGTTACATCCATCTGGCCTTTTAAAAAAACTCACTTAGGTTTAGACATCAGAACTACTCACTTAGCTTTATCCAGAATAAAATACTATTTTCTATCTAGGCCTCCACATGCAGAGTTGAAGCTTAACTTGAGGTGTTTTGCCTCATTTCTTTATGGACTAAAAGCAAATCGTCCAAATCGTGTTCCTGAAAATGTTGTATTTTTTCTAGTTCCATTGTGTTTCTGAAATAATACAACCAGACACCCTGACAGCAAAGATGAACATGGTGGAAGTGTTTATCAAAGCTACGTATACCTTACCTACTCCTTCCTGACACTTTCTTGGC